TTTATTCTTGGCGCTGAGGGCCATGGTGACGGCGCGTGACCAAGAGACATAATTGTCGCCGTTGAAGAGTTCGGCAACGATGAGAGCGCCGGGATTGTCACTAGGATGCAGATAATACGGTGATGTAGGATCCTCACTTGGATTTACGGTTGTCGTCATTGCCAGAGACAGATCGGAAACAGATCGAGAATAGATCGAAACAGATCGAGATATATCGACCGAAAATCGGGAAAAATCCGAAAAAAAAATGCGATGAATCAGTGATTGATCGATTCAAAACAAGAGAAATGCAGCGAAAATGAAGAAAGATCGTAAAATGGCGAGTGATACCATATTAGAATGTATCAAATAGACATTGATGAACACAAGAAGGTTTGAGAGAGAGAAGAAGAAAAGTCGGTTGTTGTATTGGAGAAGAAAATAATGAATGAATTAATTTACAGATTAGGGTTACAACCCTATTTATATGAATGCTATAAAACATAAAATATAAGAGTACAACAAGTGAAGCTAAGTGTACAACTATTTCTTATTCTATTAGTTTCGTCTCCCCAAAAATTTGTATTTTATGTTTGTGCCAATGGGATTTTTTTTAATTCTTTTATCTTCTTCTTGTTCTTCACTTTTTTTCCTTAGGGAATTTTCCCTTTCTTCATGAACCATCTCATTAACTGTAAGTCTTCTTTTTGTTGAGCCCGGCGGCAGACCTATCTCATTAACGGTAAGTCTCCATGTCTTTTTTGATTATTATGTGTCTCTTGGACATTATTACACCTGTCTGCAGATTCAGATTTTTTTAGTTTATGTGTGTTGGTTGACACTCTTCTTGTACTCTTTTGAATTTTCAGTAATTAATATATTTGTCGTTTTAGNTTTGTAGACTAAAATATAATATATAAAAAAAAAACAACGTAACTAAAAATGTGTCCCCAAATATTATTTATTTTACTCGAGTTACTTGTTATTTATTTTTTTTAATAAATTTCACTCTCGATATAGATAGGAGTGCACCTAGATGTGTGGACAGTTCAATTTAGTCAACTCGACCGGGCTGCCAAGACGACCGGGTCGTGATCTCTTAGAAAGACCACTCGACCCAGACGATCCAAAGTGCTTAGACAGACGACCCAAAGTGCTTAGTCGGACGACCTAAATGCTAAAAGTCAACTCGAACCACCCAAAGAGCTTAGTCGGACGACCCAAATGCTAAGACTCGATCTAAATGCTCAAACTCAACCTGAACGATCGATAGTTCAACCCAAGTGACCCAAAGGGTGTTAAAACTACATAAAGCATGATCCTAGTGTTCTAAGTGACACAAAGAATGCTAAAACTACCTAAAACGATCTAAAGGTGTCAAACTACCTAGATAACCCAAATGAAAAAAATTTAAGACTACCTAAACGATTCAAGGCCTTGCCAAAACGACCCAAATAACGTATCGGTACCTAATGGCTTAAATAAGTCTAGGTACCTTGACCCGAACGCATCAAGATAATCTTAGTCATTAGGATAAAAACGAATTTCAGGCAGCTCATCCAGGCAACCAGTTGTCCCTTTCAAGCAGCCCGTTGTACTCCCGGACAATCCTTTATTGGGCACTAAGATAACATTAAGGTAAAATCACAACTATAAATAGAGGGTAAGTGTATGATCATTAACTTCCTCCACTCCCTCATTCTTAATATCTAAAATTATCATTTAGTCTTGATTTTCTCCTACAGGTCTCTCACTAACTTGATCGTCAGAGTGCTAACGCCGAGAGACTTCTCAGCCCCTTTTGTAGGTCACTAGTTCTGTCGTGGACAGCATCTCAGGTGATCGAATTACTAGACCCAACCAGAGTTTTCGAGAGGTCCAATCAATTTGAACCGTAGTTATTTAGTAGAGCACCACCAATTCTTATGTTAATAGTTTGTGTAACATTAATGGAATAATTTTTATTTTTTATTTTAAATAAAGGAAGCTCTCGAACGTGCTTAATAAGTACTCATTCACAAATTAAAGTTTATCAGACATTGTGTTTAATTTCAAAGAAACCATGTATTGGTAAATCTCGAAGATGTTAGTTAAGTTATCACGTCATTGTCTTTTCATAGCCATGTAAAATTCTAACAATAAGATTTAAGGAATTAATTGCAAGCAAGTCCAGTTTATTTAATATTGGAAAATTCTCGAACGGCACACCGTCAATTGGCAAATTTTCAAAACGTTGTTTGAGTTTTAAACACCATAATTTTGATCAAATCATAATGATTAAAACTTGGTAACAAGTAATTCACCACTACTTGATCGGTAATCTTATTTTAAAGGTGGTCAAATCAACGTCACTCCACTAATATTTGATGTCTTAGATAGTTAGATAGTTGGTTAAAGATGATGTTTTTGTATCATATTCCTTGTATGGTTACCAACTTCAACAATTTCAGTTGCACATTAAATATTTAATTAAAAACAAGTTAATTATGATTGAAAACAAGATCACATAAATAGCACTATTGGACAGTTATTGCGTAATGGGTTTGAAAATGGACTCGAAAATGAGTTTTTTGGTTGGAGATTGTCTTAACTTATTGTGATCAACATAATGAACCCAAATAAAAAGTAAGCCGAAAATTAATATCTATATTGCAACCAAAAAGTTTAATACTGTATGTAAATGTGGAGAGAATGATGTAGAGCTTGAATTGTAAGGCGAAAGAGATGAAAGAAAGGAAAGAAATCAAAGGACCTAATCTACGAGATTTACCATATCACCTAATTGATACAATCTAATCTATATCATATCAACACGATACAATTTTCATATTTATCATATAAGAATATCACAAGATATCTCTCAATACTCCCCCTCAAGTCGGAGCATGAAGATCACAAATTCCCAACTTGCCAAGAATGCCAGATAATGAGTCACGACACAAAGCCTTGGTGAAACAATCCGCTAACTGACGGTTGGAAGAAACAGGACGTGGAACCAAAAGCTTGGAAAGAATGTGGTGGTGAATAAAATGACAATCAATCTCAATGGTGCGCTTTAATTCATAAATATGAGGGGCGATATCTTGAGTAAAGCGCTCTGCAAAGTCGTTCTAAACATCAACAGCAGATTCGATGTGAGCCGCCATAGGTTGAAGGTTTTGATGAATGGAGTTGATGAGCCAGGATTTGACCAGGGCATTGCAGCGCACCCAATTATTGTAGTCGGGAGAATCCACATCGGCGGGAGAGATGGAGCCGTCCACGAAGCCTGATTTGTTTTTGGAACAAAGAGCATTAAGAAAAGATGTCTTTCAGGTAAAGTAATTGGAGAAATGCTATGGAGCCAACCATTGGCTCCATAGCATTTCTCAAAGTAATTGTCACCATTGTGAGACAAATGATGGATGACAAAAACAAGACCGGGGTGATCAGAGGGATGCACATAGTATGGAGAGTTAGCATCCAAGGAGTTAGCCATGAACGACAAAAGAGAGAGGAGGGCAGCGGCTTAGACGATCAGAGGGATGCACATAGTATGGAGAGTTAGCATCCAAGGAGTTAGCCATGAACGACAAAAGAGAGAGGAGGGCAGCGGCTTAGACTAGAGTTTTAAAAAAAAGAGAGAGGAGGAGGGCAGCGTCTTATAACTCAATGAGGATTACAAGGTATTTATACAAGTCAAAAGAGATGAATGAAAGTGAAAAAATCAAAGGACCTAATCTACGAGATTTACCATATCACCTAATTGATACAATCTAATTATATCATCTATACTTATATAATAAGAATTAACATTTATCCAAAATAGTAGGTTAAATTATGGTCAATATCGGATTTGATTAAATATTTTCCAAAACCGGTAAGTTTTTGTCCTTTTCACACTTCTCATTAATTATGTTCTTTTTACACTTTTCATTAATTTTGTCATTTTCACACTTCTAATTAATTCATTAATTACGACATAATTATCATAAATCATTCCATCTGAGCTTTTATCGTTAAAATGTATAGCGATCTGTTATGACCTTATCCCATTGATATTACCATGAAGCGTCCTTATCGCGTTCTATTTTTTGGTAACCACTCTATATCAATAATCGGATATTTGGATATTTGGTTAATGATAACACACGCCTTTATTTCAAGGAGCGGGTATTCTTTGACCTTTAATTAATCTGAACTGATTGCCTTGACTTTTCAATTTTTAAAAACTCTTTTTCTAAATATTTCGGCTTAAGATTCGGATTTCATTATACAAGTCATCGGATTGTTTGAATGAAAATGAATGAAAAGAATACCAAAAATAGGTAGCCTTATTCATATAACCAATTCTAAAATATTAGTTTGTTCACCAAAAAGAGACAAATCCTAGAAATCCTAAAATTTTAGTATGTTCACCAATCCTAAAATATTAGTTTGTTCACCAAAAATATTAGTTTGATTTTTAGGATTTGTCTCTTTTGAAAATATTAGTTTGTGATACTGAGGAGTTACTAAATAATCAAACTCATAATGTTGTGTACAAGGAGGTTTTTAATAATATATGATTGTTACCGAACTTTTTATGTTTCAACAATGTTCTTATGTATTTTAATGATTTCAATTTCGATCCTAATTATTCTTCCAAATTTTACATTCCGTGCATCGCACGGGTTACGTACTAGTATCAATAAAATACAATTGTCATATTCATCGTATAAGAATATCACAAGATATTCTTTCAATACTGTATACCCCATTCTACTATCCTAAAACTTTTTTTTTTTTTTAAATACAAAAAACACTACGGTCAAGAGAACGCCACCAGTAAAATGTGGCTTGCGTGCTGCTGCTCGTGACTGTATTTGCCGGCAAAGCTCACGGCTCAAATATATATAAATATACAACTCCATTTTTAATATAATAATAATAAAAAAACCGTAAAAAAGCTCTGCAACCGTTTTCTGCACCGCTGGTGCGTGTCGTCATTTTCGCTTGATTTTTTCTTCAGTTACGGCGGCGATTGAAGCTCGAATCGGCTGATGGAATCGATTTGGAAGTCCGGCGGCGACCCCAGCGCGTGGCATCTCATCGTCGCGGTCTATTTCTCCTTCGCGTTCGTGGCGGCGAGATTTCTCCTCGATAGATATGTCTTCCGTGTAATTTTTCTGAATGTTTTTGTGCTTTGGTAGTGATTTTTGAGTTGCGTTTTAGTTGGATTTTTGTCCGATTGTTGCATTAACTGATGAACTGTTGTTGCATTGGCTATGGCGATGTTGAACCTACTCGTGAGGTCGATCTGTTTGAAGTAAGCATTGAATAATTGAATCTGCTTGAGTTGCGGCGGCTTATTGATGTGCTGATTTTTTCTGAAGCTCATTTTAGTCTGTAGTGTTATACGGTTGGTTATTTAGCTCTAAGTTGAGCATTGCGAAGTAGCTTTTGAATTGTTGTTCAGCTGTAGGTGCTGATAAAATCTCTAGAAAACTGAAAGCATTTTACTATTTGCACATAGTGTTATACATTTGAAGAACTAGATTGGATTTTATAAGTTCCGTTTGATATTGGTGAATTTCGCTGTAATGTTGTTTCTGAATATTTTTGCTAAAACAATTTTCTGCTGTACCTAATAGTAACAGAGAGCTTATAACAACTTATGTTTTGAAAAGTGTTCATATTTTAATAAAATTCCTCATAATTCTCCGGAGGCTTGCATTTTACGAGGCGCAGCTTGCAATTTTCTCGAGAAATTGGTGTAATAGAAAACTAGCATTGGTTGATTGTTGTCCAAATTTGAGTTAGTGATGTTCTTATGCCATTTTTTTCAGCATAAGAGATAGCGACTAGTTACGGTTCATCGTTGATTCAGTCTCTTCGTTTGAGGCTTTGCTCGTTATATGTCGTCCATTGTTAATTTCAGTAAGTTGGATGCCTGCAGTTATTCTGACTACCGATTGATCATATATGTTTTTATTACCACTCTTTGTAATTGTATGATACAAATTGGTTGAGCTGTGAGATTCTGATCGAAGTCTTTCAAACAAAGAGGTTACACCTTAGAGCTTAATGATTTCAGTTTAGACCTATTACACAAATTCTGGTAACTATTGCTTTTCATAAGCAAGAATTCTTTGAAGAATTGATGCCGTCTGGATTAATGTATAGTAAGTTTCCATTCTGTTCCTTCTTCCTACCGACGAGCTCATAAATGTAGCAATCCCCGTGTCAACATCTGAATTAAACCTTATTTGAGATAACAATAGGTTATCATATCAAATAAGAGTGTTACAACTAATAAGACAAAATGGTAGAAACCATACTTTGATAGACTTAGTGCCTGATAAGAGTGTTACAACTAATAAGACAAAATGGTGTAACTGGTTGGTTATTGATGTTGCCTTTACTGACTAAAGTATCTTGTATTGGAGCAATGGTTGATTCGTTATATCAAGAGTGCCACCATTATTTGTTTAGATGTTCTTTCTCACAAGTGATCGCATCTGCCACAGGCGTTGGCCATTTTGCTGAAAAATGATAAGAAAATGAGTGAAAAAATAGTGAAATGTTCAGAGATTATATGCTGATATGTTTCATAAACTTCTCACTGCATGCCTTACTGATTCATAAACTACTTATTTGCTAGAATTTATATTTATCTTAGCTATGTATTTTTGTTTCCAGGCTCTCTTTGAAACTTATCTACATGTGCCAATGTGGGTTCTACATGTATAGCATTGGTGCTCTCTTTTTATGGGAAACTCGGAGGGAAGGATTTCTCTGTGATGATGTCTCATCATATTGTGACCGTGATCCTGATTGCATTTTCATATATCACAAGGTATCCTTTTGTTCGTCTTTGTTTCAAGATTTTGACTTTTCAATGCTAATTACTGCAAGAAAGACTGCCATTTTTTAGTTTGACAGTTCACAGTTGTGTACGCTTCCTTATAGGTTCTTCCGGATAGGAGCTGTTATTCTTGCATTGCACGATGCCATTGATGTATTCATGGAAGCTTCAAAGATTTTTAAGTATGCTGAGATAGAACTTGGAGAAAGTGTGTCTTTCGGTTTGTTTGCCTTGTCTTGGCTTGTGCTTACACTTATATACTTCCCGTTTTGGGTCATACGAGCATCAAGGTTCGTTTCGAAATGAATTTCAATGGGTATCTTTTGGCTTTATTTTTTAGTCTCCTCTCCTCACATCACTTCTTTTATGAGTTGCTGCTCATAGCTGAAATTCCTACACAAATCCTTCTGATTTCTACTCCCCACACTTTATATAGAAAAAAAGATAGAACTATGTTGCATTCTCACATCTGAAAATATGTTCTCCCCATGCAAATATTTGGTGCTTTCTGTATGATTTTTTCCTGCCATTTGTCTTCATGAAAATTGGAAGGAAGATTTTACCTCAGCCTTCTCATTACTACTCCCTGTATATAATACAATAGTTCTATATTTCACATCATTTTTGTACATAATATACATTCACATAAATAGGGCCTTACTAAATATTATTCAAATGGACCCACATTTCTTTGTGAGTGCATAATTCATTATATACAAATATTATGTACATCTAGCAGCTAGAGGTGTTAGCTCGGCTCGTTGACAATCGAGTTCGGTTCATTAATTTTGATAAAATAGCCAAGCTCGAGCTCATTGATTGGCTCAATTAGTTAATAACGATCTCGACTCCACTAGGCTCGTTTACAGCTCTACTAGTACTAGCAGAGCTCTCTAATAGAATATATCGCTATCTCAAAGTGTTCAGTATGGGTTCTTGTTGTTTAATATAGTATTTGATTTGATTGGCTTGCACGCTGATCATGGTTGTTGAGGTCCTGTTAAGTTAATGTTTTACTTTATTTAACAGTTATTCTGTTAATTGGATATTATTTAGCGTTGTTTAGGTAGCCAGAAAATTTACATTTGGTAGGAACAGTGTTACACACACTCACAAAAGTAGCTGAGGTTTCTTTTAAAATTTTGTGAGCAATATTTTAGAATTTAAATATTGTGTATATATAATATATATATACACATATATTAATGATATCAATGATGTCATTTTTCTATATATATGTATGTATAAATCTTAATCTGAGGAGCTTGTGTTGGCACCTACGCCAGCCAGCTTCTTATGTTCGTCTATGTTCTTTCGATTAATAAATTAGGTACTTTTGAATTTGTATTAGTTAACTAGTTGAATTAAGTTCGTACTTTTACTTTTTTAAATAGTTTGTTTGATACGGTTATTACACATGATAAAACTGAGTCTTAGAGCGTGTGTTCTCCGTAGCTTTGACCTTCCGCTTAAATTTAATAGACAACAATATTTATTAAGTCAATGCCATGCGTCATTTTACCATAAAGAATATGCGCATTTCCATTAATGGACTCCCTTATTTTATTCACTCCTGATGCTCAAATCTGTAGAGCATTAATCTATAATAGGTGTAAACCTTTATTTTTTTTTTTCATTTTCATCCAAAAATATGAAAATATACATTAATGGGTACGCTTTGATGCCTATAGCTGTCACTCATTTAGGGTACTATTCAATTTAAATTTGTTGAATTACTACTAGTATAAGTCGTCTATTTAATAATCACAATTTCAAGAATCTTGTGATTTTCTACTACAATGTCTATAACCATCGTTAAGGTACTATTGGGCAAGGTTAAGAATCATATTTTAACATATTTGTATACTTTTGATTGAAATGTAGGATTATACAAAAAATCAAATGTCATATTATATAAAATAATAAAAATAAAGTATGATATTTTATAATATAAGTTGTGCATTTTTATGAAAAAACAAATATGACCGCCTGAAAATCACAAATCCTTGTATAAATCAGCCTAACTATCAGGGGGTTGACTTACCATACTTAGTGAAAATTTAGCGAAATACATAATTGTGAGGCCGCCTAAAAGTATGTATTTTTGCCGAATAACTTTGACTAGTTTTTTCGCTTGATGATTGAGCCGACTCACATAAAAATTTGTTTATGTATGTGTGGGGTCCAAAAAAAAACACAGATTCAGCTACCTAACCATACAACCTTATAGAATTGCATTTTGTTGTTTTTATTTGTTACATTTTTGGAACAAACTACATATATGTGTTAGATGCATCATTCTCACAATCTCAAAGAGCTAAAAATGGAAACATAGCCATGATCTATCGATTTTTCGTTTATCCCCAAGTGCCGATGGGCCCACCAATTCAAACTATTTTAGTCTCTTTAGACTTGGCCGGTTGAGCAGCCTGCAGTTGTCGTGTATACATTAGCCTCAACTCATAAGGCCCCATGCGCAGATTAAAAAAAAAAAAAAAAATNAAAAAAAAAAAAAAAATGAAGATGTGACTGGAAAAGTAGTTGATGTCTTAGCATATTTCATGGGTCATTTTTTTCCGAGATTAAAGAATTTTCATAATCGTACTAAACTTCGAAGAACACTAGAATTCAACATCTGGAACCGTACCAAAAATCAGTTCGATTGGTTTAGAATTTTGTATTTTTCGGTATGGTTTGATTCGGTAGTTGGAACTATCAGAATGGTTCAGTTCAGTTTAGTTATGTTCGATTCGGAGTTCAGGAGGTTTCTAATTATTTTTTAATTTTTTTGAATAACTATCTAGTTATTTTTAAATTTTGATATGCTCTTTATAAAAAAATCCACATCCATCAATACTTAATCATATTAAATATTTATTCAAAATTAAGTTTAGAAAATATAGAAGTAACTCAAAATTTTAATTAAGATTAAATTTGTACAACTAATTATAAAAATTTAAAATCTAAATAAAATATAATATATTTTTTTATTATACATAAATCATCATAAACTAATTATAAATTAAAATATAATATAATTTAAAAATAAATTACGAAATAATTAAAAAAGCATATCATAAATAGATATATAGAATGAGTTTTGAAGTGAAACGGTGAAGTTTTATTTCAAAAAAATATGTAGGCAATTACTAGGCAATTACCGAACCAATACCATTAAACCGATATCGAACCGAACACGTTCGGTTTCACTAATATACAAACCGAAACCGAACCGATAAGGATTCGGTAACCGACAATCGGTTACCGAAAAAACGGTCCGGTTTCGGTTTTAACCGATAAAAACCGAAAAACTGAAAAAATCCTATAAAGTGCAGCAACAGCAGCAAAGTTGAGCTCAATTCTGTGAAGTAAATTAAAACCCTTCCCAAACTAATGCAGAATAATAAAACTCATCTGCAAAGTGCTAATGAAACTCACAACACAAAATAGAAAAACCAATTACATTACCTTCGGGCACGGCTGACGGCGAAAGTGAGTCGGTGAAGGTGAGGTGAATGGTGAAGGAGGCGATCTGAATTCTAAAGTGAAGGAGGCCTGAAGTGAAGGTGAGGTGAACGGTCGACGAGCCGAGGAAAGCAAAAACCAAGCAGAACTTTCTGAATTTCTGAATTGAACTCCCTGCCCTAAATCGTAGTGCTAGTTCAAGCAGAAAGAAAACGACGGCCCCTAAATCCTAATGACTTAAACTAATCCNGGTAAAAACCGAACCTAATGGGCTCGAAACCGATACCGAACCGTTAACATATCGGTAACCGATTATCGGTTACCGTTACACATGAGTCGGTTCGGTTCGATTTTTTTTTCCCATCGATTCGGTTCGGTCCGGTCCGATTTTCGGTTTTCGGTCAAAAAATATCAGCCCTAGCAATTACCATTAAATTTCCAAAACAGCACATTCAAGGCCTATTGGACCCACTTTCTGATTATCTGATTCTAACAATAAATTTTCATATGTGTTTTGGGCTAGGCCTGTTATTGCAACAATTCCTCCTCCACCGGCCACCGTGTCCCCTTGACTCTAAAAAGAGTCCAAAATCATTGTGTAAGCTGCGTTTTAGATCATGTTTGTATCTTGACTTTCTTCGAATATCTTCTATAAACCATTTTGGCAGTCACATGATGACATGAAATCTAAACCGAGAATTTTTTATTTTTTTTTTTATCATAATTTAATTAGAAACAAAGCGTTGAGTGAGGTGCGTAACTAAAAAAATCTTCTACAGCGGTTAGAACAGAGTTTTTAGAGAATACAACTATGTTCAGATCGTAAGAAATTAATCTCGATTTATTCATATAATAAAACATCAAATAAAAATTTAATTCAAACAAGCGGAGTTTAATTGATTACACGATTCGAATCACACATGCTCATTAAACGAGCACAAATTCGAAGAGGATGTATTCGACACAATTTGGCTTCAATAATATTACTACTGTTATGTGCAAAAACTCAAAGTATGATACTTTTTAAATGTTTAATGTAAATTACAAAACGAAAAAAAAAATTATTAAATTAAAAACACCTTATGTTTTTCAAGTGTTAGAACTTTGACATAATTCAAAGAGAAAAAAAAAATAACTCTACTATTTTATGACAATAAAAAATTTAACTCTATTATATATGACAATCATTATTTCATATTCACTTCTCATTGAGTTGAATCGGTCATTATACAAGTACTCATGTTATGTAGCAACCAAATCTTGAAAAAGAAAATTATAGAAAAATAGGGATCCATCACATCAAAGATGCCTCCGTTACTCCGTACCTATTTCCCTCAGTCTCACAATCCCCACGTGGCACTAAATCTTAAAATCAATTTTTTTAATTAACAACCGTGTAAAACTAGTGTCCATAAAACAAAAGACTGATGAGCTGGCACCATTTTTTGACTTTTTGGTTTTCCACTAGCCCCAAAAACGTATATATACCCGACTTTCTCTTTGACCCTCTTTTTCAATCACATTCCAAATTACCAAAAATCACAACTTCAGCTTACCCAACACACACAGTCACACAGACATGCAGCGGCCGGACAAAAGCGGCGGAGCATCCAAGACGGCGGTGCCACGGCCACAGCCTCCTCCGCGGCGGTTGACCAGCGAAGAAGAACTCTCCGTAATGGTAGCCGCCCTGAAGAACGTCATCACCGGCGCCGCTTCCCGCGGCGCGCCGGCGGATTTCAAATCACTCGCCGCCGCCGCAGCCGCCTCCGGCAGCGGCGGCGACGGAGTATTCTCCTTTTCCAATGACATGGAGTCCTGTGGGCAGTGCGGGATAGACGGGTGCCTGGGCTGCAACTTCTTCGTCGACCGCACGGCGGCGGAGGCGCAGCCGCCGGAAGAGGTGAGGAAGAGGAAGAAGAAGAACTACAGGGGGGTGAGGCAACGGCCGTGGGGAAAGTGGGCGGCGGAGATAAGGGACCCGCGGAAGGCGGCCCGAGTGTGGCTGGGGACCTTCGAGAACGCCGTGGACGCGGCGCGGGCCTACGACCGGGCCGCGATCGAGTTTCGCGGGCCGAGGGCGAAACTCAATTTTCCGTTCTCCGACTACACGGAGGCCGCCCCTGCGGCGGCGGCGGGCTCGGCCTCCGGCCGACCGCCGGAAGATTACGGCGAAGTGCAGAGGAAGAAGAATAGGCGGGAAAATGAAGGTAAATTGGGAATTGGGTCGAGCAGGATTAATAATAATAATAATAATAATAATAATAATAATAATAATAATAATA